ATGATAGAAATTAAAATTATAAACAATCTAGAATTTTGATAACATGATTGGAAAAGGAGCCAAACATGGTTTGGTGCTCCTAAAACAGAAATACAGACACAAAAATAGTACATCAACTTTCAGTCACATGACTGCAAACTCACACTCTAAAAGTGCAAACTACTATAATCCTGAAGAGCACAAAATTAATTTATTCGCTTTATTGAAAACCTGTTTCTCAACTTGAAAATATGCCTCGATCTTGAACTTTTTATCACTCCCATTTTAAGATTTTTCTCTCTTTTCAGATGCCGACAATAGGTACAACGGTGTATTTGTGTATGATCATCACACATTTACAGGCATACAAACTTTGTTGGCAGACTGATAAAACTAGGGAGAGAAATTGATCGATTAAATTGAAACAGAGAGCCGCGGCAAGAGTAAAAAGAAGGAAGAACGAAACGAGACCAAAGTTTTGTCAAGGAGATTGGAGCTTGCAGTCAATGACAGTACTACGCTATATTTAGTTTGATAAATAAATAAACTTCAAAAGGAAATGTTGCAAAAATCATTCCAAAAAATCATTTCAAAAACATCAGAGCTGGTCCCACAACGTCAACTACCGTAACCTAGAAATATTTTTATTCTATTTAAGAATCCATTTTTTTTGTTTCCTAGAACGCACGAAAAACGAGAAAATAAGCCAGGGAAAAATGATTTAAGGTTACGGTAGTTGTCGTCGTGGAACCTTCTTTTATCAATTTTTCGACGATTTTCTCGTTTTTTTTTGATAACAAGCAGAAAAAAAATCAGAATGCTTAAAATCACTGAAAAAACTAACAAGAAAATCGTCGGAAATTGCGAAAATAGTCTCAAAGAATACGGTAGTTCGCTCTAGCGCCTTTAAAGAAAAATTTAACAAGATTTTTTTGAATCTTATACAGTGATAATAGCGGAGCTGTATTAGCAAAGATTGTGACCTATAATAATACCGTAAAACCAATAATAGAAGGTCCCATACTATTAGTAACTTTCAGCTCAATTATCTCGGCCCGTGTAACAGATATCAAAAATTGGTCAACTGATAAAACATTGATGATATTATGATAAACGTTTTGTTAGTTGACAAATTTTTTTAATATCTTTTACATGAATCGAGATAAAGGAGCTCAAAGATACCGCGTATTTCCTCTAATAGAAGCCCACCCAAACCGTCAACTGTAAAAGATATCAAGAAGTGGTTAACTGATAAAATATTTTTGAAATTATAACTAACATTTTGTCAACTGACTACTTCTTTATATCTCTGACAGTAATCTAGATAATTGATTTCAAAGTTGAGGGTTTGAGTGAACTTCTATTAGAGGAAATACGGTAATACTAAATAATGAGATCAAAAAACACGAAATTTCAAAATCACAAGACTGGGCTACTGTAGTCCCGTTTTAGACAATTTCTGTTACAAACCAGAATCCCATCACCAACGGGCATCGAAACGATTGGAATACGGTATGCCAACGGAGCGTTCCTCTCCTCTCCTTTGGTGTCTCTTGCAACATTCAGTTGATTGCGAACCTCTCGGAATGTGGCGAGTAATGTGATTCAATGGCTGGAAATAGTGAAGCGAGACGAGACGGGGTGACACACAAGGAAGAGAGTATGAAAGAAGATTCTTCTGATTGAATATTACACAACGTTTCCATTTTTATTCTTTCTTTCTTCGATGAAAAAGGCGAGCCAATTAGGGGGCCCCTAATCGGTTCACATTTATCATTATTAATTGGGATTCAGAAGACGTTGTGTCTTCTCGTGAGATCATTACATTCGGAAGCAGTGTCATGATTAGGTGATAATGATGAAGAAACTGTTTTTGGACGACACATTGGGGTACGGTAGACCAAAAAAGTTTATGGGATTGGAATGATGATGTGGGAAAGGAACTACAGTACACCCAATCTTCTCAATCGACAATTTTTTGTCAAAACACATGCCGAAAACAGATGAAAACGCAACAACAAAGTGCCGCTTCCTTTTTGAAAAAATGCGCGAACGTCTTCAGCGATTAATCATTGCTGAATAAACTTTTGTGTCACAGAGAAGACACACTTTCAAACGGGCGGTAGATCATATCCGAAAAGGGAAAAAGTAAAACGAATTTTGATTGGGAACACGAGTTTCTGGTGTGTGGAATAGAGATGGATTCTTCAGGGATGTTCCAGCTTTTTAAAAGAGTTCCCGTTGATTCTGTGCAATTACCGTAAACACTCTAAAAGAGGGCCCAATTTGTCAACTTTGAGCTCATATCTCGGTTCCTGTTCAAGATATAGAAAAGTAGTCAACTGACAAAATTTTGTTGATTTTATGATTTTATATTTTGTCTGTTGACCACTTTTTGATATCTTTCACAGAATCCGAGATATATGAGCTCAAAGTTTGGCCTTTTATTACAGTTCTTACGGTATATCACGGTGTTTTATGCAATTTTTAGAGCTAAAAACAGTACACCTTAAAAATCAACGCAATCTCAAGAAACATAAAAGCTGTCAAAAAACTACATAATAAAAAACTGCCCAGCCTAAATTTTCACAGCTTTTTGTAGTTTGCAACTTTTTTCTGACTACTGTAGTTATTGAGACATGCTCCTTTAAAGTTATCGCGCTCAATAATGACTGCAAGGAGAAATCTTGAAAGGCGCATAACTCGCTTCAACAAAAAGCTACAATAATGATTTTTAGTTCATTGGATAGCTCAGAGGAAATTGAATAAAATGAATAAACAGTTTCCAAATTTTTTGAGAAGAACATTTCTGTCAAGCGGCGACTCAGTAGTTAATTTGAAGCTCAAGTGAAGCTTAATGGTAAGTTTACGGTAGTATTACGGTTATTGGATTTTAGGTTACTGTAGTTGTCATTGTGGGACCTTCTACAGCTTCTATTTTTTCGTTATAGAATAATAACGATATGATTTTTTTAGAAGATTCACAAGATCAACATCTCCTCCCGCAGGTATTTGGTTTTCGGCAAACCAGTTTCTACAGTAACCCATTCAGTATCTTTTCTTCCTCTCTATATTTTTGTCAGTTTAGCCATTATTTTGCTCATTGATCGTCACATCTTCTTATTTGAATTGATATATCCTGTTCAATTCAGATTCGAAAAGTCATTAATCTCATGTCCGGATGATGTGGCAGATAAGCGAGAAAATGTTTCAATTGCGCAAGGACAAATCAACGATAAACTCTTCTGGTGGTGCGTGTGTGTGTTAGGAATCTGAATTGGTTTTTGGCAATTGTAGAAATTCACACTAACCGGCTATTAATTACCTCTGTCAAATAGTGTCTAACGTTACGTATACTATTTCGAAGATAAACCGTTTGAAGGATTCGAATCATTAATTCACACTCCTACGATTCATCGATATTCAAGGAAAGAACCAATAAGGAATTCAGAATCTAGGGATGCGAAACGAATGGCCTGGATCCAGGCCTGGAAACATAAAGCACAGTTTCAGACATTTACATTTATCTGATTTACATATAATTTAAGCTTCTAGAAGAGAAGCCCTTTTTATTACATTAGACTGTGTAGATTCATATAGCAACAAAAAAAATGCAAATCCTCGAAAAATCGCTTCAAAAAGCAAAACATGGAAACTTCTGGAAGGTTCTGGAATCTTTTTTTTTTTGAATTCCCGCCAAAACTGAAAAGTAAAAAAAAAAGAGATTTTTTGCAATTTTTCGAAAGAAAAACTGATTTTTTCTTCAATTTTCTGCAGAACATGTAGACTTTTAAAAGTTTTTCAGCTATTTTTGACGATTCTTTTTCGATTTTTCCGGTTTTTTGTCTCAAATTTGATAGGACGGTGTTCGTGAAGACTACTGTAGATTACTGTAGAAAGCTAATTTCGTTTTGCAGTTCATTTTTGTTGCAAACACGATCACGTCAAAATGTAGACAAAAACTTTTCACAAAAAAATCATCTTTCTACAGTAATCTAGAGTAATCCTAACGAACACCGTTCCGTAAAATTTCAGACAAAAAAATTCTGGAAAATCGAAAAAGAGTCGTCAAAAATAGCTGAAAATCTTAAAAAGGTCTAATAATTTTGCAGAAAATCGAAGAAAAAATCTTTCTTTCGAAAAAATCGTTTTTTCGAAGTTTTCAGTTTTGGCGGAAATTTGAACAGTTCGAGAACTGTCCAGAAGTTTCCAGAAAGGACATTTAAAGCGATTTTTCGTAGTTTTGCAGATTTTTTTGATTTTTTCTTTTTTGCTATACGAATGTATACATATTTTTCTACACATTTCGACCTTAGAACTGGTCGAAGTCTCCCTTGAACAAGGTCTATGAGAACTGTCTCCACAACATTTTCTCATCCAAAACATTCAGGTTGTTTCCCAGGATTTTTCAATTAACACCAGACATTTCTTCCGGAATGTTCTCGCTTGACTGCGACAACACAAGAGAACCATATTTGCTTGTTCAGCATTTCGAAACGATTCGATTCCTTATCAAACTTTGTCGAACATTTTCCTGTTATTTAAATATTGCTATATTTACAATACATCCTCCCTCATGAGGCCCTCAACCTGTTTTAAAACAATTTTATTTTCAATTAATTTTGAAATTCAAGATTTTATAGTAGTTTTATTATGCTTATGTGTATAACCAGCCGTAATTGACCCTTTTGTCTTGTAAATACCAGCTGCTCGCGATTGCACAAAAAACGCATCAAAAATTTTCGAGCTGTCCGCAAACACCGCCACGCCAACTTGCGGAAACTGTCGTCAATTATTTTCTCTTCACGTGCTGTTTGGGTTCTCGATTCAGGTTTCTATTTGTCTGTCAAGCCAATACCTTGTGTTCTCAAATGACTCATACAAAATCGGTGGAAAATAGACTCTTTGTTCACTAAAAAACAACACATTGAGCAACGGTCATTGAGCGATTTTCCCATTTTTCTTTGGTTTTCTTACTGTAGATAGCATACTCCTGGAAACATCGATTTTTTAGATACAAAATGGCGGAGTTGGTCCGTCCCAAAAAACCGAAACATCGGGAGCGACCCCAAAGTGATGATGCACCGAGGATTCCGGATCGTCCGGTGATGGTAAATGGGATGCGGTTGCCAGTGGCTCCTTCGCATTCTATCCAGCATCAACGGGATCGATCAGCATCTCCAGAACCAGAAGAACAGGTACTCAGTGATACCGGCGAATCGATAAATCCCGAGAAAGAAAACGGTAGTATTCAAGATGTGAGGAGCAGTCCCGTTCGTCCAGCGCCACCTCCTCCAGTGAGTTTTTAAATTCATTTAAATAAAACAAATTATTTGACGAAATCATGATTCAGAGAGCAATATCACAAGAACGAGAAGCACCTCCGATTCCTGCCCGAAACCTAGTGTTTCCTAGAAGCACGAGTATGGTCGCAGAGTCTACCAGAGAGCCAACTCCAGTGGTGCTCCCGAAAAGAAGTGTAGCGGTGGCGCCATATCCAACCGTCCCTGAATTGGCAGAACTTCCTTCATACACAGCTGCACTTAAGCATCCTCAAGTCTATCCAGCTGTAGACGGTGGACAGTTACACCATTCTCGTTCTGCTGCTGCCATCCCGGTGAGTTTTTGAAGGGGTACTTCGACCAAAATGTATGAAAATATGTAAATTCAAATATAAAAATTAAAGAAAAAATTCGAAAAAAAAACTGCAAAATCTCGAAAAAAATTGCTTTCTGAAAACTTCTGGAAGGTTCTCGTACCTTTTTTTGAATTTCCTGCCAAACCGAAAACTTTGAAAAATTAGCGGCTTTTTGAAATTTTTCGAGAGAGAAAATGTATTTTTCTTCAATTTTCTGCAAAATTGTTAGACCTTTTTAGGTTTTTCAGCTATTTTTGACCATTCTTTTTTGATCTTTCCGGATTTTTGTCTGAAATTTGACGGAACAGTTTTCATAAAGAATACTGTAGGTTACTGTAGTTTTTTTTGCATACACAATCACGTCAAAATGCAGACAAAAAAATCTGTAAAATAAATCGAAGGCTTTCTACAGTGATCTAAAGTAATCCTCACGAGAACCGTTCCGTCGAATTTAAAACAAGAAAACCGGAAAAATCCAAAAAGAATCTTGAAAATAGCTGAAACCCCTAAAAAGGTCTAAAAATTTTGCAAAAAAAAAAACGCTAATTTTTCTGAGTTTTCAGTTTTGGCGGAAAACAATTTGAGCTTCTCGAATTTTTTTTTGAATTTCCGCCAATACTGTTCTAGGCCACCTCTAGGATCGGAAATAGCAAGCGGAGGTTTCGGCAGGAATTCAAAATGATTCCAGAAGTTTCCAGAAATAAATTTTCAAAGCGATTTTTTGAGACTTTGCAGATTTTTTTCGGTTTTTCCTGTGTTGCGATATGAATCTACATATTTTTCCACACATTTTGATGTATTAAAAAAAATAATTTTTGATCCATATCCCCTAAACTGCAAATTTTAATCTTAAAAATATAGGAAAAAACCCGCTTCTCGGCTCCAGTGGCACAAGAGCGTGTACGAGAAGGCGAAGCTCCTCCAATGTATCCATCGATCAACACATATGAGAGAAATGAGCATGGACTGATGACCGAGGAGAATTTAGTCACATTCTACCATAATCCACTCTATGAACACGCCGAGATATTTGTGGATCAATTCATTAAAGCAGAAGTTGTCCCCAATCAATCAGGATCTTTGTTTCCACTGCTAGCAAGACTGAAATCCGTTTGCGACTTGATGACTGTAAGTGAAGTGAAAGGAAAAGAAAACACAGAAGAATTGCAAAAATGCCTGCGAGAGTGTTGGGTCCAACAAACAATGTCAGTTGAAGCGAAAGGAAAGTGTGGAGACAATAACGATGGGACAGGAAGAGCCTCTTATTTCTCTTACGAATTACAACAATCAGTGTTGGATCAGATGAAGAGACTTCTCTCGACGAATCGAACGAATCTGTTGGATCATACGCTTTGTGAGGAGACTTCATTTCGATCGCTAGCTCTGCAAATTCAATGGCAGATTATAATAATTAATAACAATTTTATGGCAGAGAACGGGTTGACCACCAATTGCCCACCGAGTTGTAAGTTGTCCTGTATTAAGTTTACGTTGTTTTAAGACATTGTTTTCAGTGGTTGCAACTGGTCCAATGACTCCAGGAAGAACAGCTATTCGGACTGCACTGTCTGATATTTTCTATCATCTTCGTTATCCGCGTCTATCCAAACGATTCATTGACACGCTTTTTGGATGGATTAAAGAATTGGTACTATTAGAAACAATATAAAAATTCAAAAAAATTGGCAAAATCTCGAAAAATCGCTTCTCGTCCATATCTGGAAAATTCTGGAATGTTCTCGCGAAAACTGAAAACTCCGAAAAATTAGCGATTTTTAGAGAGAAAATTTTATTTTTTCTTAAATTTTTATGCAAAATTTTTAGACCTTTTCAGGTTTTTCTTCTATTTTCAAAGATTGTCTCTCGATTTTCCAGTTTTTCGTCTGAAATTTGATGGAACGGTTTTCGTGAAGATTACTGTAGATTACTGTAGTTTTTTTGCAAACACGATCACGTCAAAATGCAGAAAAATGGTTTTTACAAAATACAAAGCTTTCTACAGTAACCGCAGTAATCTTTGCGAACACCATCCTGTCAAATTTCAGACAAAAAATTCGGAACTCTCGTTAAAGCTCGAAAATCCAAACTTCCGGCTACGTTTTCCGTTATTTTGAGACATTTTATATTCAATTAGCTTGGCTGAAAATTGAGATTTTCGGTGTGAAATGACTCTAAAAGTTGCATATTTCTAGCTAAAATTGTCACGAAAATGCTAGAATTTTAGCTTGTTTTCAGCCAATTTTAGACTCATAAGTCTGGATTTTCAATTTTTCTGGATATCCTAAAATCGACTAACTGATTTTTAGAGCCAATTTAGGATTTTCTTTGAAATTTCAAAGTTTAAAATTTTTGAGAGCAAAAAGTCCACCCTCGTGTGATTTGATTTCTTAACCGGAAAAATCACACAAGAGGGGACCGTTATGTTTTTCTTCCAGATTTTCAGTTTCAGGCCCTTCTTTAGAAACTTAAATCGTATTTAAAAAAAATAATTCCAGACTTGCATATTGAACATGCGCCAGTCTTGCGATGATGGTATTTTCCTGCTATGCCATCTTCTCCGACTGCCTTCCCCTATCGATCATTGGGCACCGCCGTTTGTACAAACCTTCATCCAATCCCAATCTCCTCCTCGGCTCAAACTCGACTACTGTGTTGCACTTCTCACCCATCTTTTGAATCCAATCAAAGCTCGTGAATCGTTCCTCCGACACGTGGCACAGTCGGAGAAAGAGGAATCGACCTGGGAGATTCTGGCTGATGACGATGATGGAGAAGCCAACGAATTCTCATTTGTCACAATTAATGAGTCCGATTTGACAGCTTTCCTTGATCAAATTCCAATTTCCGAGTTATACTCAATCGCCTATCTTGCTTTTACCTCCTATTCCGACAAAGGATCTCAGTTCACTGCGATGATAGCATTCCAGCTCTTGCTCATGAAAGTAGGCCATCTAGTTATATAGTCAATTTAATTTTTTTAAATTTTTAGATTCTCGACAACGGGTTGACAAGCTATTCACAGCCCGGGTACAAAATGTTTTGTAAACAAATTGGTATCAGTCTCAAGTGAGTGTGCAAAACCTTTAAAAAAATTCAAATTCCAATTTTAGACACAGCGTACGGGAACTTTGCTCCAACTGGCGTTTAATTCGGGACCAGATTCGTCCGGGAGAAGAACAGAACCTCCAAAAAGAAGTCGACAGAATTGTACTACTCGCTCTCAACTATCTCATCCATCGAGACAGTGTCGGTCTATTCCAATTTGTCGTCGCACTGCCCTATGGTGTGGTTTCTGAAGAATGTCGAAGTCGTTGTGAGTACGCTCTCCGTTCGAATAAGAAAATGTCGATTCACGAGATCTACGAGACGCCGATTTGTGAAGTTCGAGCTAGAATCAGTAGCCGTACGTTGAATTTTTGGAGAACGCCTTCTCAAAAAACTTTTCCAGAGAGCATCGCTAAACGTGTGTCAAGTCTTGGAGCACAGGATTCAGAGTTTCTGATCAATTCTCTAGCATCAATCGGATCATATTCGAATGGAGATGTTGGGCAACTTTTAAAGGAACTTATAGATGTGAGATTTCTACTTTGAAGTGGGAAAAAAATATGTAGATTCCAAAACTGAAAAATAGCAACTTTTGCGATTTTTCTTCAATTTCTTGCAAAACTTTTAGGCATTTTCAGATTTTCCAGCTATTTTCAAAGATTCTTTTTCGATTTTTTCGGTTTTTTGTCTGAAATTTAATGGAACGGTGTTACAGATTACTGTAGATTACTGTAGAAAACGAATCACCTTTTGTAGTTTTGTTTTCGCAAACGCAATCACGTCGAAATGCGGACAAATAATTTTTGAAAAAAAAAACAACAGAGTTAAAATTTTTCTACAGTAACCTACAGTAATCTTCGCGAGCACCGATCCATCAAATTTCAGAAAAAAAAATCGAAATCTTAAAAGAATCGCCAACAATAGCTGAAAAACCTAAAAAGGTGTGAAAATTTTGCGAAAAATCGAAGAAAAAATGAATTTTGCTCTCGAAAAAAACGCTAATTTTTCGAATTCCGAAAATTCCAAAAAATCGTAAAATTTCAATTGAAAAACGAAAAGTTCTTTGAAAAATTCGAAAATTCCTAAGATCCCAAAAATCCCAAATACTTAAAAAAAATTTCAAAACATCCGAAAACTCCAGAGAAAATTTAAGAATTCCAAAAAAATAAGAAAATTCCTGAAATACCGGTGAGTTTTCAGTTTTGGAGGGAATTCAAAAACCGGTTCCAGAACCTTTGAGAAGATTCCAGAAGTATACTTTTAGAGCGATTTTTCGAGATTTTGCGAAAGTTTCTCATTTTATTCTTTGTTGCTATTTGAATCTAAACATTGTTCTATACATTTTGGATGTATTAAAAATATTATATTTTTCTATTTAATTATTTAATTTAAACATTTTAAGGTTTGTTTCTGCGAACCGGCGACCCGTGACGATTTCTACAAATGCGGTGGAGAGGCTATCGGTCAAATTCTAACCAAACGACCTGAAACGTTGCACCAGCTGCTTGCCATCGTTGATCGTAATCTCCAACACATGGATTCCTATGCCATCAATGTACTCTCATCATCCCGCCTATTCGAATGCCGTCTCACGGAACCAATGATCAGTATAATTGGAAAATGGCTCATTAACAATCCACCAGAACATGGTGCCAATCGACTCGCTCGGAGAGTACTCTCCGGACTTCATTGGGGGTTGGGACCTGATGGACAGAACCTCTGGATTGATGTGGATGTGCACGCGATAGCTGCGGATACAGTAGTCAAGGCTCACTCGGTTCATTGCTCTCGGTCCAATAGTATGATATCAAAGTCCATCAGTAAAATATCGAAATTGGCATCGAAAGTTGGCGACGCCGAGTCATTGTTCCAACAGTTCTGTTGGGATCTTCTAGTGAAATTAAAGTTGCCGACGATTCCAGTGGATTTGGTTCAGAACGATTTGACGGCGCATTATGTGAGGATCGTGCAGAATTATGAAGATGACGTGGTGGTGTATCTGGAGAAAGCGGTTCCGCTACTTTCGGATTTGGTGTCGTCTGGTAGTTCGGTAGCATCTGTTGTGCTTTTATCTCGTCTGATTGCTCAGCACTACCAGAAAGTCAATTTGATGGCAGCCGACAAGAAGTTAGTTTTCTCTCATAAATACTGTTTTTTCAGTTGATTTTAGGCACTTTCAAGAGCCTGGAGCTCGGTTTTCAAGTTTCCGATCACTTTGAAAACTTTGGAAGACGGAAAATATACATAGAACGAAAATGTTGAATTTATAAAATTTTTCGATCTCTGAAAGACGCCATTTTTTGAACTGAAACCGTGAAAAAACAAACGTCTACCAATTTTGGATCACTTTAGATTATCCACAATTTCATACTTGTAATCCGGGCCTTTGCCGGGCCTTCGCGGGCCCTGCCATAACTTCTTTCAGAATCTATATTTTCGAACCAACTAAATCAGATATGATAGAGCTCCATGAGTACTACAAAACGGTATTATTTGGATTACTGTATCTTATCTATGAATAAAGTTACAGATCATAAAGTGGCTTTTCTCGCAAGGCCCGGCAGGCCCGGGGCGGGCCTGCTTTTTTTTGCTCCTATTGCTCTGTAACTCTGTTCATAGACAAGATACAGTATTCCAAATAATACCGTTTTGTAGTACTCGTGGAGCTCTATCATACCTGATTGAGTTGGTTCGAAAACATTGATTCTGAAAGAAGTTATGGCAGGGCCCAAAAAGGCCCGGATTACAAGTATGCACAATTCGAATTCTACAGTAATCAAGACCTACAGTACCTCGAAAATGTTGAAACTTTCAAAAACTACAGTAATCCTATATTTTTCGATTTCTCTCTGAAACTACAGTAATCTACCTTTGAACTTCTAAAACCTACCGTATCCTATGCTACAGTAACCTGCAGTAATCCTCAAAATTTGACCTTCTCTCTAATCATCTACAGTAATCCAATTCTACTGTAGTTTGAAATTTTGAATTTTCAAAACTACATTAATCCACAGAATTCCAGTTTTTACAGCTACCGTAACCCTAGATCACAGAATCCTAATCGCGAATAATCTACAGTAATCCAAAAAGATTTTCAAGTCAAAGTCATCCAGTTTAGGGCTGAGCAATGACTCACATTCTCTGAAAAAGCTTAGGATTACGGTAGTTTTTGAAAGTTTTAAAATTTCGGTGGTTTTGTAGGTCTCGATTACTGTAGAATTAGAGAAAAGTTTGAAATTTGAAATTTTGGATTTTTCAAAAAAATCTGTGAATGCAACGTTTTCAATCTAAATCTGTTTAACACCTGGAAAATTTTGAGCCGAGCTCCAGACTCCTGAAAATGGTCGAAATGGCCGAAAACAAACTGAAAAATCTGTTCTTGCTGACCGGTCCTGTACATATTACTCAATTTCCAATATTTCCAGCTTTATGGCAACATTCGAACGACTCCTACACATCGATCAGCTCCCTTACGCAGTTCAATGGCTCAGTGGACCATCGTCCACGCCGACTCCAATAGTCAGACTCATTTGCTCAGCAATATCGTACTACTCTGCAAAACTGCCACCTAGAGACTATCTCCGTGCATGGATCACACTTCTATGTCAAGCGAGAACCGGGTGGAATGAGGATGCAGTCACATATCAAATCGTTGGAACTATTGCCAGAATTGCATTCATCAATGATACGCAGAAGCTCTATGAGATCACATCGATCGTATTCCAAGCGTACCAACAGCAGATGGCTGCCGAGAAGAATCAATCGAAAGGAATTCTCGCTTTGTTCTCATCGGATAGTTCAGCTTCCCCACTGATTCCTGATTCAATGCTCGCCGTTTCTCCATTCGCATCGTATATTATGCTTCGTGTGGAACAGAAATCATTCAACCCTTTTTATGGACACTTTTACGAAACTCTTGGCAAAAAAGACAAGTATAATTTGGATCATGCTGCCAAGAAGGCGGCTTCAAAATGCTCTATGGCGTTGCCTGTAGAGCGACTCGCTGTTTTTCGTTGGGCTAAATTGGTAATCGTGTGCAAAGATAGCGCTCTTCTCCCGATTATTTTACAACAATTAGCGGGCCAGGCGTACCGATTGAGAAAAGCGAACAACCTAAATCTATGTTATGCGAGGCGTCTTATCGATGAACCCCAGATGCAGGGTGTGATGGCTGAGTGTCGGAAGGCAATCGAGGAAACCACAGTTGCAACAAAAGGACTTTCAAAGGCAGTGGTTGGATGGTTGTTCACTAAACATGAAGTCACTCGGACTGGCTTTGACTTCTCCGTCTTCGATCTCGATTATCTTCTTCAGCTAATTCTAGCCGGTGATAAGAACATGTGGATGGATTTTGTCAATATGCCTCATTTCACATCAGAAGAGTTTGCGGAACGGAAACTGTACTCTGTCACGTGCCAACTGTCCCCGAAGAATCGAGAATCACCGTCACCACCGGAGCTGGGATCACCGCGAGCTCGTGGCACAGCTAAACCGTTTCCAGTGCTTCCAGTTCATTCGGGATTACCGAAAGCGCCTTGTCTCGATCCGTCGACTATTTTCCAACAACACGTCGTTCTGCAAATGGCCGCACCATTCATGTCCACCGTTAAAAATCTTGCAAAGTGAGTAGTATTTTAAAAATCCCACAAAAGTCCCGCAACTACAACTACAGTAACCTAAAAATTAAAAATTTTTTTAAACTTTCTGGATTTCTCGTTTTTCGTGCGTTTTCGGCCAATTTTGTCATTATCATAATTTTTTTTTTGGAGTTGAAAACCATATTTTTAGGTTACGGTAGTCGTCGTTGTGGGGCACCAAAAATTTAGAGATTCAAAATTTCAAAAACTCCGAAATTTAGAAATTCACTAATTCGAAATTCAGAAATTCGAAAAATTCAGGAGTGCAGAAATAGAGATCCAGAAATTCAAAAGTTCCGAAAATTGGAAATTCAGAAATTCGGGAGTTCAGAAAGCCAGAAACTCCAAGTTTCCAAAAATTCAGAAACTCAGAAATTCGGAAATTTGAAAATTCCGAAATTCAAAAATTCAGAAATTTGGGAATTTGAAAATTTGAAAATTCAGAAATTCAAAAACTCAGAAATTCAAAAAAATTCAAAATCTCTGATTCAATGTTTTTTCCTACAGGCAGTACACGGAATGTGGCGATCGAATGGATATTTATGACGACGCCTACTGTAAACTCATCAGAATACTGTACCAATCTACGCAGCAGACAGTTCCTGTCGAAATTCGCTGTTCGTATTGCTCCAAGCCAAAGCCGTGTACAATGACCGTGAAACCCAATGTTCTAAGTCCTGAAATCGATGTGAAGATGAGCCAGAATCGCCAGAAAAGAATAGAATTCTGGAATGAGTTGAACGCTTCGATGATAGACCAGGCGGCTGTGGCTACTGCCAGCATGGAGCATCTCTCTCGATTGGTTTCTATGATGGCAGCAGCTCTGGACCCCAGAAATCGGAATAGTGTGCAACCAACAGGCCACTCCCTATTTTATCTTATCACTTCGTCTGTGGGAGAAAATGAGTTACTGTTCAGTGTTGCTTCTGAATCCTATAGTCATTCTCTGAGAGCCTTAGGAGAGGTGAGAGCTCTAGTAAATAGTTAAATTCCATCACAATTTAATTCCAGGAATTTGTCAAATTCCGTCCCGAAGAACAAATGGACGTCATGCAACTAGCGCTGAATGGATTCGTGCTCTCCGAGCCGCTCGTCGAGGTAACCATTTAATTAGCCCTTCTAATTAATGCCCTTCCCTCCCCGCCGCAGTGGGGATTAGTTTTGATTCCTTTGATTCGTTTTCAGGTCTTCACTGCGGAAGTGCTCAATTCAGACGACTTGTGTACAGCTTACAGGAAACTATCTGACGCTGTTAGAATGCCGGAGCGAAGCAAGATGGCTTTACAACTTTTAGGTGAGCAATAATTTATAATTATGACAATTAAAAATCACAATCCAAACACTGAAGAAGCGTCCTGAGCTCGCGCTTCCAAATAATCTCTTTTCTTAATGATATGCGTGGTGCAAATGAGAATTCGGAAGTTCTTCTGAATCGCCAGCAATCTGAAAAAGTACCCGTAATTTGTAATGCATACCGTAAAACCTCTAATAGAAGGGCCTCTTGTTTTTAAACTTTGAGCCAATTTATCTCGGTTGCTGTCAAAGATACAAAAATGTTGTCAACTGACAAATTGTTCATCATAATATCACAAACATTTTATCAGTTGACAAATTTTCGATATCTCTCATTGGAGCCGAGATAATTGAGCTCAAACTTGACAGTGTGAGGGCCCTTCTAATACAGATCTTACGGTAGTTTTTGGGTGAACCCTTACCTCAGAGCAGCAACTTCCCAATACGTTATTCCGCCGTTTATGAATACCATAATAGCTTTTCTGGTACGGTTGTCCGGTCGTCTATCGGCTGCGATGTAGGTGTTCTCTTCAACCAGCACTTTTTCTTTACCTGAAACATTAAATAAAAGGGGACTTGGACCAAATTTTCAACGAAAAAAATACATCAAAATGTGCAGAAAAATATATAGATTCATTTAAAAAGAAAGAAAAAATTCGAAAATTCGTTGTATATCTGGAAACTTCTAGAAACTGAAAACACTGAAAATTTAGCGGTTTGTCGTGATTTTTTGAGTTCGATTTTTGCAAAATTTTTAGACTTGTTTAGGTTTTTCAGCTATTTTTCATGATTTTTTTTTCGATTTTTCCGATTTTTTGTCTGAAATTTGATGGTACGGTGTTCGTAAAGATCTGTAGAAAACGAATTTCCTTTTGTAGTTTATTTTTGAAAACAATTAATCTGCATTCTGACGTGATTGTGTTTGCACCACAAAAATAAACTAAAAAAAGGAAATCAGCCTTCTACAGTAACCTACAGTAATCTTCACGAACACCGTTCCGTCAAATTTCAGACAAAAAACTGGAAAAAATCGAAAAAGAATAGTCGAGAATAGCTGGAAAACCTAAAAAGGTCTTAAAATTTCCTCAGAACGAATTTTAAAAAATGCATGTTTTTCTTTAAAAAATACAAAAAACCGCTAATTTTTCAGTGTTCTCAGTTTTAGCGGGAATTCAAAAAACCTCTTGATGGTTTTTTTTGAGATTTTGCAAAAAAAACTTTCGATTCTTCTGCACATTTTTATAAATTAAACATTTCTGACTCACCTAAAATCCTCTCATACTCGGATTGATTCCACCCGTGGTCAATAGTATCCTCTACGATTTTGCAAAGAAGTGGTGAGATTCTAGCGCCGAACACGTAGCTCATATCCGATGGATTCGACATATCCATCGGCTCATTCCCTTTGACGATCCGGAATTTTCGTGCCAGAGTGTCCCAAATTTTCGCTCGCTCCGAAATCGTTCGATCTTGCGTCGTGTGACGACGAGCATAGATTACACGAGAACATCGTAAGTTTTGGAGCTCAAACATGTGCTCGTAGCCATATTTCTGAAGGTACATTTCCACGAATTCATTATACGTATCATCGGGTACACCATCCAATTTGAGTGAAGCCAAAGACATCATGGATAGGACGATATCTCGACAAGATCGCATTGGAACTCTTTCGAAAACGAAATCAAAAAATTCCTCTTGAGTAACAGTTCCCAAAAGCATCTCATGCTCCAATTTAAACATTGTTCTGTAGTCCTCCATTTTCACTTTGTTCATCATCATTTCGCATGCGTTTATATGTAGCTCACAGTGCTTATGATCCTTCTTCAGTGCTCTCAAATCCTTCTCCACAAAA